GAATTTTTGACACATTCATCTTTGAAGTGTGAATACCTTTGTGAAATGAAAGGCTTTTTTCAGGTTTTGTTGCTGTTACTACATTTAATTTCAGAGGCTTCAAGTTGAGTGATGTGAAAACCTGTGCTGCCTCTTTTAACTGTATGAGATGTGAGAGGTGTCTTCTTCAGAGAAGAGGGGGAAAATCATCTGGTTTGTGTGTGCCTGAAGGTCAGGAGGGAAATTYTAATTTCATGGAAGTGGTGATTATGATGGTAGGATTGTTTTATTTATTTTTTAAGTCAGCTTGAGCACTGATGCAAGAACTGTTCTGGTGTAGTGGGAAGCTCTGTGGAATGCACTTCATTGCCACTTTTGAAGTCGGGTTTGAAGTTCTGAAAGGTGATCCAGCACTGGGGAGAAAAAGCCCTGCTTGTGTTCATGAATGTTTCATGACCAAGTGGCAGTGTTTGGGGCCGTTTCCTGTCCCTCTTCAAGTGGCAGGACTGTAGTGTTTCGTTAAAAATTTAAATCTAACATTTGARAGATGTGAACCTACCACGGGAGTTCCAGCAGTAACTTGACCTAAATCTGACMCTGGGGTTCATAGTCTGAAGTGAGCTAAAAGGTAGTGCTGAACATAGAAATGAAGACCAAAAAAAACCCGTATTAAATATTTCAGCTCTTACTGTTCACCTATAAATAGGTAGCTGTTATGAATTCTTCATTGTATCCCTCTGGAGATGGGAATTAATCCAGTCTCCAGCTGCCTGTGACTGAAGGTCATGAGGCACAATGAATTAGAGGAAAATTTGTAGCAGGGTTTTTGCAGACTCTGGTTCCTGACTTCAGGTTTCAAGCTCCAGCTTGGAAGGTTTTTTGGGCTCTAGCTGTTCTCTGAAAAATATCATTTGAAAATGAACAAGGCTTAAATTAGGGGCAGCGTCCCCTTGCACTTCCAAATTCCCAATGTGACCGTGTTTAAGCACTGAAWTGCTCCGTGGTGTAACTGTGCAGGGGAATGCCTTAACCTTGGCTAATGATACCCCAGAGTCAAAGGGACCTTCCTGCTGCTCTGAACTGAGCTGGTGCACAGCAAAGGGAGCCTGCCGTGCTCGGGTTTATTCACCAAACTCCTTAGCTGAGCTTTTATAATCCTATCCCATTAATTGAGGGTCTTAACTGCCTTGAACAGAACCACTCAGATTCAACAAAAAAAAAATTGTAGCTGAAATAACTCCTGTTGGGTTTCTTTTGGCTCTAACTGGAAATGCTACAAGATATTAAAGGGGTAGTCAGCTGTGACTTACATTTTAAAGAACTTGCCAGATGGCTGCTCTAAGTACCTTAAATTATTAAGACTGAATATGTAAAATACTACATTTTCCAGCAGCCTAYTGCCTTTTTAATTTCTTCCCCCTTAATTTAGGCTGTGCAGATTCCTCAGTTTCACTCTGTGTTTTCCCATACCAGTGAAATGTGGTTGTGAGGAATTTCAGCATTACACAGGACTGCAGTGTTGGGGGGAATATGAAATTTGAAGGAACAAAAGCTCTTGCTGCTTTCTCATTGCATTAAATAAGCATGGCTTTAAAACTGCATGGGATGCTAAAGTAGTTTCCCTTATGCAAAATTTATAAAACCACATTTTTTTAGTGTGTCATTTTTTCTGTTGAGATACAAAATTTTTGCTTATTTAAGAAGATGACAAGAGGGGAGTCACAGGAATTTGCAAGTTCTTAATTATGAACCCATCTGTGGCTTTGTCCACCAGAGAGTCCCTTCCAGGTTTTGAATTTTTACCAGTGTAGCTGGAAGTGAAGGAAATACAGTTACAAATCTGTAATTTTCAGTTACTGTATGTTGGAATCTTCTTCTGAAGGCGTTCAGTCAAAACAGTTCTTGCTGCTGAGGTTTGAGTTTCCTTAGGAGCTGTTTCCATCTGTTGGTAAAACAGACAAGTTAAACTGAGAGTGAGCACAGATTTCTCCTGTCTGCATTTTGTTGAAGTGAAACCCCAGTAGCTGATGTTCTAAACCCAGTTAGGAAAAGAGAATAGAAGGGGAGGCTAACTGCAATTGCAGCATTTTTTCCCTTTTTCCTGTTGTGTCTGGGTTCAGTAATTGAAGAGAAAGCCACTGTGGTCTTTCAGTTCATTTTTTGGTAAGAAATACGTTGCTTTAAAGACCTTTCTGTCTAAAGACCTACGTTGCTTTAATTTGCTTTAAAGATCTTTCAGAACAGTGAGGAGAGCTGAGCAAGTGTGGCTGGTGCTAGTGGGAAAAGTAGAAATACGTGGCTGCTGTGTTGGGTGACACCCTGGTGAAGTAGCCCAGTGTTTTTAGGTGTTTTTAGGTGTTTTTAGGTGTTTTTAGGTGTTTTTAGGTGTTTTTAGGTGTTTTTAGGTGTAGAAGTGCCTGTACCTACTCATTCCACACCCGTGCCTGTTTGCTGTGACCTCTCACTCCTGCCTTACCACAACTGCAGCTTCAGTTTGGTGTGCAGGTGCTGCTGGCACCCCCCTGTCCCCAGTTTGGTGTGAGGGTGCTGCTGGCACCCCCCTGTCCCCAGTTTGGTGTGAGGGTGCTGCTGGCACCC